TAAATTTATACATCATTTTAGAACAATAGCTGGTTGTCTCCCTTAGTTACAGGTGGGCACTACAGTATCGGAGATCAAGATTTGAAGTCTTACATCTGAGCAGCACTTTCTGGTTAGGAAGAACAAAATCAATGAGAAATAAGTGTTTAAATAACTTTTTATATGGACTTAAGCCTAATGTCTGGGAAGTGTAATCCCTTGAACTCATAAAGAAATATACTGATGACTTTACTCTTTGGTTATATTTTCCTTTTGGGTGTTTAAGACCATACAGTTGGCCCAAATAAATCAATTTATTTTTACACTTAAGGTCATTTGAGGATCTGTTACTCAGGGGTCACATGTGTTTGGGAGGAGCCCCTGGCTCCTTTCTTTTACCAGGTCCATCTATGTGGCGATAAGTCAAAGGTCCTGTTCAACCATGTCTGACTTCACTTGGAAGCATGAAGGAGATGTTTCCTCTGAGTTGACCCTCCTCTTTTTAGACTGGACAGTAGTTCAAGTCCATCTCCTGGGGTCTCCATGTCTTCCCTGAAGAAGAGGACAGGTGACTCACCACATTTACAGGACATTTTGAGAGATGTTCCATAGTCCCCTGGAACTTGATTGACCTTGGAGGGCAAGGGACAAAAATTGTCGTCAAACTATGGCTGTTAAACATCCAATAAGATTAGTTCCACCAGTCTGGTACTTTTAATTATCATCTGCTATGTAGATAAGGCTTGGGTAAAAAAACAAATATTCAGGACTGGAGAGATGGCTCAGCGGTTAAGAGCACTGACTGCTCTTGCAGAGGACCTGGGTTCTATTCCCAGCACCCACGTGGTGGCTACGAACCATCCTTAACTCCAGTTCCAGGGGAATCTAAGCCCTCTTCTGACCTCCGCGTCATTGCACGACATGGGTGCACTAACATACATGCAGGCAGTGCACTCGCACACATAAAATAAAAATGATTAAATGTTTAAAAAAAATTTTAAAAACAAAAACCAAATATTCTCAGATAAACCTTGACTAGATATATGCTTTGTTCCTTAAACTAGTTGACTAAACTATGACATAGAAATTTTAAGATTATGTGTATATTATTTTTGTTTCCTCCTCTATATATCATAACAAACCTAAACAGACCTTCATCATTTGCTTAGGCTTTCTCATTTTTTTCTATTTTGGAAAATATCTCCATTTCCCATACCTTTTAGTATCTTTTACATTCTCATTTTCTTTTTTAAAAAATAATTATGAGACATAATAGCATTAACAAATTTTCCATCTGTTGTGAGACTTCTTTTCCTGGGGATGCTAAGCAATGCTTATTCCCTTTTAAGGTTCTAGTGTCAAGCCAATGTTTGATTAAAGTTTTGCTGTGGAACCAATGGGTTTATTAAGCTTACTTACCAGATAACTGAGGGGTTGCTGAGGTTTATGTATGACCTGAGGGTATGCACACTGGAAAGCTTTAACCCAGCATGGGTCATGCCTTCTCTTCCTAGCCTTCCCCAGATTGTACCCTTTAGCCCTTCCCAAATCCAGGAGGCCATGTGTGATTAGGGTCAAATTACATACAGTTGGCTGGGAAGAGTGACTGGATACTCTGGTGAGGGTCCAATAATCCTGCTTGTCTCTCCTTTAATAAATGAGCACAACTGTCAACAACCCAGTTGTGACAGTGTTTAGCGATCAGGCTCAGCTGAAGTTGTGATGATGATAGTTATTTTGTGCAGAAGAGACTGCTGTATAGCATCATCTTTTTTTTTTAGCATCATCTTATTAAAAGGACCAGCACATGGAGGCAGGATCCGGAGGCTCTCAGGCAGTCCCCTGCATTCTCAGGCCCTCTGCCTGACGGAGGCCAGAGGGAGGCCAGAACTCGGCACTCTGGCAGTCTGTTGAGAACACAGCCTCTACACCAGTGGAGGTCTGAACCCACCCTCTCAGGCTGTCTGCTAGGATCTCAGCCTTCTGAGATGCTTTTTCAATGTACAGAACATGGGAACTTTTTCCCCCACAGTTTTGGCCTCAGTGAACATCACGGTGCCTGACAAGCTATCTGAATATATGGAATGTAGCAAAACTTTCTTTCTCAGAGAAGTCTTAACAACATGAGATAACACATGCAATTGATAATCCCTAGGTGGTAAAGGATGTGGAAAACAATTCTGTAATTCTAAATTCAGTATCCAGTAGAAAACACACACTTGAACTGGGGTTCTGGATATCCAGATATGTGTAATTAGAATTTGGGTAGTTGTTGAGAATGATATTGGAGACACTGGGAGCCAGAGACAGGGGAATGCAGTGAATTCAAAGAGGGTCCAGGACACACATTTGTACCATTTTCAAAGGGAGACAGGTGGGTACAAGGCTAAAGTCCTCGCCCCCAGTCCTTTATCTCTGCCCTCTTGCTAATTCCATTGCTGCCTCTATCCTCCACCTGACTGAGGATCTCCATTTCCACTGATGACAACCTTCCTACACCTCTATACCCCATGAGGTCCTCAGTGGAACTGCCACTATCAGCCAGTATTTGCCATGGCCATCCACACACACAAGGACAGAAACCATAAGACAGTTCCTTACACATGGAATAAAGAGGATGAGCTTAGACTCACACCACATGGGCACTTAACTCTAGAATACCCAATTTAGAATTCTGCCTCTAAGACTGCCTGTGTGACACTGATGAAGTCCCTTCCCCATCTCTGAGCCTCAGTTTTGTCATTTGTAAAATGGGTGACTAGGAGTATGTACAAATTAGGGCAATTTTTTTAACAAATAATAATTTATTGTAATGAGTTTGCAAATAAAAACAGCTGTACTGAGGTAGATACTCGAACAAACACTTGCCCAGTCCAAACTATACATCTGAGTGAACTGTATTTAAAATGGCTGTTTTGAAACCAAGATTTCCTTAGGCTTTTACATTTTCACTATCATTTACATTGGTTTGAACTTACACACCACAAAAAAGAAAAAATTATAACATAGTTGAATCCTGCAGGGACAAGGGACAGGGGAGCCAATAGCTTATTTTCAAAACTGTTAGATCCTGTTTCACTTCGATGGCCAGAACATACTCAACCAGTAGCTGACACAGCCTTCCCCACTGAGGAGAGCAGGAAGTTAAGTTTTGGTTCTGCACTGCCAACCAAGTAAGAACAAGAGATGATTAACGGACTCTAGAATCCTGAAATATAAAGCTATTCTCAAAAAAGACAATTAAATCCTATCCTCCAAGAACCATTTAAGCCCAGCTGCATTCCTACGTAGAGGGCATTCTTCTATACACATAGAATGGTATTGTTCCAATCTGACTACCAAACCAAGGTCCACCCAACCTCAGAGACCTGCTTTCCTCAGGACCCAAACTATTTATTAATAGGTCCTCATATGAAATTCAAGGACAAAAGGCATAATGGATAGTCTGTGGTGGATGCAATCAAGTTAAAAATTTTGAGTCTCCTGCGGGCTGTGTTGCTGCACACCTTTAGTCCCAGTACTCAAGAGGCAGATGCATGTGGATCTCTGTGAGATTGAGACTAGCCTGGTCTACATAATAAGTTCCAGGCCAGCTGGGGCTACAGGGAGACCGTGTCTCAAAAAAAAAAAAAAAGAGTCTCCAAAAGCCAGAGGCAGATGGATACCATGAGATTAAGGCCATCCTGGTCTACATAGTGAGTTCCAGATCTGCTGGTACAATATGGAGCACCTCTCTCAAAAAAAATAAATCAACTATTAGAAAGATAGCTCAGTGATTAAGAGCACTAGCTGTTCTTGCAGAGGACCCAGGTTTGATTCCCAGAATTGCAGTTGTAGCTAACTACTATCTGTTACCAGTTCCAGGGGGATCCAACTCCCACTTCTGACCTCCATGAGCATTGCATGACACAGGTGCACTTGCACATATGCAGGCAGTACAGTCATACACATAAAATAAAAATAAATGAATAAAGAGAACAACAAAGTATGACTATGGATGACTAGTAAGTAACTGGTTCA